AAAGAAAAGGAATTGCAAATGGCATAGGCCTACGTAGGAACTTAATTGTAAGTAGGTTTAAGACTTTTCAGATAAAAAATGTCACCAATTTTTTTTTTGATACTTTTATTGTATTTTCTTTGAGAATATTTTTTGCTACATTTCTTTAAATGTCAGAATATTTCCGTACGTGTTGAATAAAGCGCACACAGATCTTATTTTCCTGAATAAATAAACCTTCAATCATTTCACGGTCTCCCTGTTACTGTAACCTGTATCAACATGGATTCCTTTGAGGCAGTAAAGGTTGTTTGTTTTTAATTTATTTTTTTATTATGAGTTAATTTTCTATATTATTCGACTGCATTCGAATTATGAGTAGATTATAAATTCCTTATATTATGTCTCTATTAAGCTTTGAAATTATTGCTTCCAATTAAATTTATATACATGTGTCATCATCGTTGTATCATAAACGAGAAACAAATGAATAATTATATCGAATCAGCTGTCGCCCGCGACTCCGTCCGTGCGGGATTACAAAAAAGGTTCCTAAAGGATTTTCCCGGAAATAATTCGAAATTTTCTCACCTTTATAACCTTCCCTAGAAATCCACGAACATTTCAAGACCAAGATAAGATAAATCCGTTCAATTGTTTTCGTGTTTTAGCGAGACTAACGTAATATAAATAGTACTATTTATATTTTATATACATATATATTTTACAAAAGTATATTTAACAAATATAGTAGGTACTAATATCTAAATGATGACATTAATATGGCCCTCAATTTTACGTACTTATACTTTTTTCCAATATTTTTGTCTACTGTTTTCATATCTTTGATTCATATCATAACATCGGACTCGTAAACCCAGCGTATTTATTCTCTAACTTGGTTGCTTCTGAAGATTGAAATTATACAGACGCTTCACTGACTTTTCCCATATTCCGCCAATTGCCTTCAGATCATATTCATATGGCAAGGGTTAGAAATATGAGACGACAATAAATCGATAGATATAAAATTCCATTTGCAAATATTATTCATCTTGTGTTTTGTCTATGAAGTTATTTGTTTCGTATTTATTAAAGTAGTTATGTAACCTTTTCATTTCATACTTTTCTCAGTAGCGAAAGGTTCTCAAAAATGGTAAACATATTTATATATATTCTTCTTAGCCACTGTAAGTTTCCATGGTATTAAAATTAATATAAATATGATTGCTATCCTTCTCAAACCCATGGAAAAACTGAGATAGTAATATGTATTTGTTTGGCGGTTTCGGCAGTGAAAATTGACTTTTAAAAGAAAGTTTGGGACGATGTCGATGTTTGGATAGTCACATTAGAAACGTGTGATGAACTACATATTTCATGGCCTAAAAATTAGTGGACCCTTGCGACCAGTTTTCCAATAGATCTCGTATCTATATTTATTGGCATACATAATCTATTTTTATATAAATAAAAAATTGTGTTTGTGTATCAAGATTTGTCCGTTTCGTTTATTAAATTACTCGACGTCCGAAAGAATTATAAAAAAAACTTAATGAGTAGCCCATGCGTTCTTCCAGACTATGTTCGACGCCTGAGCAAAATTTCATCATGATCCGTTGAGCCGTTCCGGAGGTACCTTCAGACAAACATCGATCCATCAATCCATCTAAACTGTCGAATTTATAATATTAGTAAGAGTTAGGTTTACAATGTCTGTGTTTCCCATGTGAGGTAAATAAAATGTTAACAGTGGTAGAGCCCGCTTTAACATCTTCGCACGAATTGGTCCGGCTCGCTCAGTGAAATATGACGACCACATAGAAGACAGGCGTGAAGTGGAAGCAATTCCGCGTTTCGTCTGATGAGTGTGTGTCCCGGAGCCATAATTTAGTTCTCTTTCCCTTCCCACCATTTTTCTTAAAAGGAAAGAATGAGAAGTGGAAGTGGACTTTTCGGATGAGAGGATGCATTGAAAGGGAAAATATTTTCTTTCTGTGCATCCTCTTCTCCGTCGATTAAAGGTAGGCAACGCATATGCAATTGCGAATGTCTATGGGCAACGATCACTTCGTTATTTCAGCGATTTCAAGTGGCCGCTCGCTCGTTTGCCACCTTGTAATATAAAAAGAAAATTAAATGCATAGAATTTGATGAGTAGTTCTTCAAAATGGTATACGGTCAAAGTATTAATCCTAGAATCATTTTTTAATCGTCTATTAAATTCTAGATACAAATATGATATGATTTTACATTGGTAAAGCTCGCCGTATGCATAGTATGTTAACTCGTTGTCAGTTCTGAAACAATAGAATGCTACCTAACAACTTATGCAGGGAAGCCAACATATAATATTCTAAAAGGCACAAATATGAAGTAAATCTCTGTATTATATACGTTGTGTGATGTGATGGAGTAATGGTTCGGTTAATAAGTTTAAAATTTGTTTAATTAATTTTGATTGACGAGACTTTCATCATTATTAGGGATCGAAATTAACGCAAATACAACAGTGACAGAGGTGGTAAAATTATAAATAAAAGTTACAAATTTTTAATTATCTAAAAAAGGAATATCTTGCCGGAGGCCTAATTTTAGTCTCCCATTCCAGCCTTTGCTTATAAGGAAAAGATGGTAAGGGTAAGTGGATTGTACGGAGGAGAGGACGCATAGAAAGGTTAAAAATCTCTTTCTGAGCGTCACCTCCCCCATCGATTAAAGGTAGGCAACGCATCTGCTATTGCGAATGTCTATGGTCAGCGGTCGCTTTAATACTTCTGCGAATTTAGGTGGCAGCTTACTCGTTTCCCAGATGTGATGAAAAAAAAAATTGCTTAATCCCACAATTCAAGTACTGGCACTTTTTTGTGTTACATCAGTATTTTTCATTATAAGCCAATATCTCTAACAGCATATCTAAGCTCCAAAGAAATAGAAAGACATTCATCAATCACGACTTATTCCCCGTCCTCCCATAGTAGCTCATTACTTATGTTGATTGACGTAGAAAAGGACATTACCAAGTGAATTATCTCTTTCTTTGGACATGATGTTTATAGATGTTTTTATTATTTTTATTATTGAACTAAACAATAGGCATCTCGCATACGTGACTTATAATAACAAGATTACGTAGTTTACCATAAACTTTTTGATTTTAAAAGAAATAATATTTACGCTCTTACAAAAATCAACGTATGTTTTTTTTAATTTGTAATAGGAATTAAACTAAGTTAAAGTTTGGCTCGAGAAACTGTTTAGCTTTTGCATTTTTCGCAAGACAAGTTTACTACAGTTTGTGCGAAATGTTACTAGAACGTTGAACAAAAGTTTGTTCAAACAGGCGTCGACTTCCTTTCAGGGGTCGGTACGCAGGTTCCTATTGTTCTCAAACTGATACTAACGAAACGCGACATGTCGTTTACGGCAAGCCTTTGCGTACAATGACTTTGTGATTTCATACAAAATTGAAGGAACTTCCGCTTTTAACGACGTCAAACAAAACTGCTCGTTAAATTTGCTACGAGGATTTTTACATAGATGTCTAATCTTGCTTTAGTAGTGTTTGTCTTTAATTTTTTTTCCCTTGTTTTATATCTATATATATATAAAAGAAAGTTGTGTTAGTTACACTATTTATAACTCAAGAACGGCTTTACCGATATGGTTGAAAATTGGTGGGGAGATAGCTTAGAGTCAGGAGACGGATACTATTTATTTATTTTTTTTTTTTTGAATTTTTGCCTTGTTTGATTTTTATTTAACTTATCTATATATTACGTTTTTTATATATACACGCGGACGGAGTCGCGGGCCACAGCTAGTTAACAATATTTTTTGGTAATTAACTAATTTTATTATTGGATATACTAAATACTACTATATAGTTAGATATTAGTATCACTAAAAGTTAGTAATCACATTAACATTGAATATTTACGTAGCAGATGTGACACCGATTAAACAAGTTTAAAGGACAAGTAGTAAAGAAAGTCTCGTCAGTAATAGCGTACTGTATGCATATTTAGTGTTGTTTGTCTCTAGCGTACACGTCATAAGTACATGCCGGAGAGAGGGGGGGTCAGTCAATGTCAGACCTATGGACCGGCAGCACGTGTCGGTACGTGAACGAACCAAATATAACGCAACGAATGGTAAAGATTGGAATATCTCGGATATAAATAGGAGGATAGGAACATAAATGTAATTTTTGGAACACACATAGCGCTGGATTCGATCACAGGGCTGAAATAATTTTAACTAGGCTTTAGGAGTACGTTTATGAATGTTTCAATTCAGGGATATGACGATAAAACGCGATTAGTTTAAGTCTCCAACGATGAAGTGAAAGTAGGGTAGAGATATAAAGTAATAAGATCGGCTTATGAATATTAGATTAATTAATATTAAGAAGCGCACATCCAGTGTTTAATATTCAATACCATGAACGTTGGATTAGACAGAGACAAATATTGTTTTGTTTGTTGAAAAATTCTTTAAAAAAAACTTTTGCTTAACTTAGAGTAGAATACTTTGAACATATAACATCAGGTGAGCCTTTTGCCATCGTATTCCATAAACACAACATGTCATTGCGAACTAGGAATTATCATAGAGGGTGCATAGACTTGATTGCTTGACAAGGTTGTCTGAACCTGTGGATGAGTCAAACTAAGTTATGACCGCTCACTAGCGTCTTTCTGTTCAAAAATGTCACAAGATCCTCTTTGTACTGTAGCTGTCCAGTCTTTTCTTGTTTTATGTTATTTTCTATGATAATTATGTTTTGTATGTATTCAGACTGAACCAACCACGATAGCAGCGCCTCTCACCGGTTCAGTGAGGATATTGTTTGACTATAAAGAATATACTTTTATATAAAAAACGATTTAACTGTGCCGGTTTTTAGGGATTTTTTAAACCAATTAATAATTGAGGTAAAGTTCGTCGAAATCAAAGAGTATATAAAATGATGGTCGAAATAATTATTGATTGATTCGGAAAATGCAATACTCGTTATTCTTTGCTGTATGTAATCTGTATCTGTACCCCATTTGTAAAACGCAAAACGATTGTCAAGAAGACGAAATTAAAATCTAAAATTGAGCCGAAACTCAAGAAAAAACAAACAGATCACTGATCGGCTTATTACATAAATATTAAAAATGTGGAATAAATTGCAAGACTCGCCCCCGTTTTATCTGCACTTTTCACAGAACAATGGCTACGAGATATCAGTAACCGATTACATTACATTGTACACTGTTAATGTTTTGGAAAATGAATTTATGGCAATATTGAAGGTTTGTTTTAGTTAAATACATACATCTAATCATGGATATGTTTTTAGTGTGTTATTTTATCTAATTCAATTCATATTTTCCTCATATATAAAATGACTCACTATAACTGTGTAATATTAAAATATTTTTCAACTATCTAAATAAAATGCTATACTATGTGGTTTTTATCAATAGGAAAGTAATCCAAATCTGGAAATAACTGACGAGGAGTGGATCGATAATGGAGTTAACATGGTTTCAAACTTTGATAATATGTTTGACTTAATAATAAGCACTGCAGATGGACATTTAAAACTTTATATTTGCAAAGTTTTTGCTTATCCATTTAGACTGAAGTTAACATTACATGAAGCTCCCAAAGAAATTGTAAGTAAAGATTTTTGAGCTTTAAATTTGAATAATAACAAATTCTTTTGTACTTAGTTACATTAGCCGAGGTGTTGGGTGTGTATGAATGATGTAAACTTATTAGCTTGGACAGTGAAAGAGGTATTAAATAACAGTTGGGAATATTTAGTTCTTTCAGAAAGTTACTCAGCATCTTCTCAGGACTATTATAGAGCTTCGCACTGTTGAACAAAAATTGCGAGTTTCTTTAAAAAAGAAAGATGATGAAATAGATCAGTATAATAGGAGAGGATATAAAATAGAAAGTAAGTAAATTATCTTTTCTTGGTCATGTGTTTTTCAACAATTTTACTCAGTGTTTTAAATTAATTATGATGATTAGTTCATTTCATTTATTTTGAACAGTTTATTTTAATAAATATGTACTTATTAGCTGTCGCCTGTGACTCCGCTCGTATGAAAATAAAAATAAACTTTGTAGACTGTGTTCTTCCATAATATGTTCTACATCTATGTCACCTGCCTGAGATACCTTCTAACAAACATCCATCTATCCATCATCATCAGCTCACCATTCATCCCCACCGAGGGGCTCGGAGCCTACTTTAAGTTAAGGGTGATTAGGCCATAGTCAACCATGGGGGCCAAGTGCGGATTGGTTGACTTCACACATATCCTTGAATTTCTTCTTAGATATGGGCATGTTGCATCACGATGTTTTCCTTTACCGTAAGAACGTCGGATAAATGTACATATGTAAATCGGAAATCGAAAAACACATTGGTGCATGGTGGGATTCGAACCCAGGACCTGCAGATTGCTAGTCAAGTGCTTGACCCCTGAGCCACGGATGCTCTCCATCTATCCATCTGTTAAAATTTTTGAATATCAATAATTTACAGAATATAGAAGGACAGCAGTATTTAATGACATGGAATATTTGGAAGAGCATGATGTTTTTCGAAGAAACATTGATGTGCCGGAAGACATTCCTGTCAGTTTACTTGAGAAAAAGGAAGATAATAATGAAAATCTGCCTGAAGCGTGAGTGTACCTTGGATTTTTTAAATAATATTTAATTTAAAGTAAACTTATATTGGGCAAATACATAAATTTTTAATTCATTAAAGAAAACACTTAACAATGCTTTTAGTAAATAACTCTCTCTCTCTTCTTCGTTGTTGCAGTTTTTTCAGACTAGTTGTGACCACCAAGTGTCAGTGATCAGTATTAAGTAACTAGCTGTCTGATAAAAAAAAATTAGTAGCCTATGTGTTCTTTCAGACTATGTTCTACGACTAAGCCAAATTTCAGAGATCCACACAGCCATTCCGGAGATTCCTTCAAACATCCATCCATCCATTTAAACATTCGCATTTATAATATTAGTAAGATATGGGCTTTTTTCTATCAAATTAATCGAAGGATAATCTGTAAAGTTGAAAGCAATGTCAGAAAATAATGAAAAAATAAAATAAAAAATGTAAAAATAATTACAGGAAAGAAGAAGGAGATGGTACTCAAGATCTCGAAGTTAAACAAGAAGCATCTGAAGCAATGGAAGCCGAAGCTACACAAAGTTTATCAAAAATTGAAATCAATGAAGAAACAAAGAGTGAACCGGAAAATACTGATAGTCCTTTGAAAAAACGGAAAAAGGGGTTGAATTTGTAAGATGAATAATGCTATTTCGGACTTTATTTTAAGGTACTTAAAGGTGATTTTATCTTATTTAATATTCTTTTTCTATGTGCTAAATAAGCATATATGTTAATGGGAAATTATGATCTCTTGTATATCTTATACAAAATCTATTTATTTTATAAGAAAAAATCGCTTTTTTATTTTATTACGTCATGTATTTTTTTTTGTTATTTTTTAAATTTTATATACAATTTTTTTATTATATGCATTGCATTCTATGTAATCAATGATATGGTTTTTGAAAAGGAAACTGAAGTTTTTTTTTTTTTAAATGAAATGTTTATTATTTTTATGTTAATTTAATATTCAAGATAACAGGCATTTTAAAAACACATAGTATAAATGTCTTAAAAATTAAAGTTTTAAGATTTTTTAATGTAATGATTTTCATATAATTCAATCGGAATATATTATAAGAATTTTTATCACTTTTGCTAATGTTAAAGACACTATGAAATTAAACTTTTTAAAATTAAATATTGACGTAATCACACGCATAGTATAAGTGCTTAATCATTTATTAAGTAGATATTAGTAAGTAGAAAACCATTTAGTGGATAATATTAATCATTTTAAACCTATTAATCGTATCAGCAGTTATAGACATCAGAGTTAGGCCGGGACTCCACCAAAGTGGAGACGAGCGAAGAGATGTTTTTTAAACAATCGATAGAAAGTGTTATTGACACATCTCTCCGCTCAGCTTCTGTAGAGATCACTGTGCGGGGAGATTTGTAATATTTGTAAGGCGCGATAGAAGCGGAGACGCGCAGTGGAGACAAGAGATGTGAGCACATCACATACATCTCAGCTTTGGTGGAGTCGCCCGAGCTGAAAAACATCACTTCTCGCACAGCACACCGCTAACATCTCTGCTTTGGTAGAGTCCCTGCTTTAAAGTAGTTGACTATAGCCAAGTCACCCTTAGGGGAGGCTCTGAGTCCCTTAGTGGAGATGTATAATATGATGATAAAATCATATTATTAATACCATTGCTTAGTACGAACTTTTTTATTAAATATGTACGTATATAGCTGATGTCAAAGTCATTAAATTATTACAAATAAGTTTTTCAAATTCTGCTTGACCTTTTTACGTGTGCGTAGTGTAGCGTAGTGTCTTTTTGTGATAAGTTCGACTTATTTTAGTCATTTTTATAAGGTAGTTATTAGAATAAATGTGACATTTTGATGTTGTATTCGGATTGTATTGACGTGTTTTTTGTAGGTTAGGTTTCTTATTTATAATCGTCTTATTGTAATGCATTCAATATAATATTTAGACATTAAAAATGTGTGTTTTATTTTACCCACTTTTGGTATACTGCTAAATTTTTTTGGATAGCAAATTTTGTTATACATCATAAGGACAGGGGACTTAGAGATTTGACAATTCACCAAGATTCAATTTTATATTCATGCCTTTTTTGAAGGGGTACGAAGTGACCTCAATGGTAAATATCGAAAAGAAAAAAAACACAAGCAAAAACATATTTTAGTAAGTCAAAATATAGTGAAAGGGATAGGGAGTGACATACTATAGACAAGTTTCAGTTAATTGTCAGTGGAAACTTTAAGGTAATTACAAATTGTAACAAATGGTAACTGCACGGGTAATATAATTAACTTTTTTAGCCGACTTCAAAAAGGAGGAGGTTATCAATTCGTCTGTATGTTCTTTTTTATTTGTATAAACGACGTAAGTACGACCCTGGTGCTCCGATTTGATTTTTTTTATTAATTAACACTTAATTCGACGAAATTTCGCTGTAGCAAAGTAACTGTTTTTTTTAGTAAAGTCATACGTCATTTTCTCTAAACAAGTTCAGTAGATTTTTTTTAATTAGTTGTTCGTGACACTGGACACCATCGAATTAAGGGTTAATCGGAATCAAGAACTAAAGAAACGATCATTAAGTAGACGTATGATTTTAAACGCTGACATGTTAAATATATGCTTAGAGATTGCATTATAACATCTGCAAGCTCGTTCTAGTAACTGTTCTCCCGGTACGTGCTCTTAACTCGCGGTGTATAAATGTTAAGTTCACGCTTACGAAGCCTACTCGTGGGTACCATGATGCCTACTTTTTCGAGTAACTCGGGACAATCGATCGCCTTTTACAATATTGTTAAGGAAAACTAAGTCTGCCACACGCCTCCTCTTCTAGCGGTAGGATAGGAGTGAAGCGGTTTGGTAGGATAATAAAACAAAATGTTGTGTATGTCAATTTATTCAGAATCGAAGTTTACGAAATAAATACGATGTCCCTCAATTAACAATTACAGCTATGTAACCGTTGGCTTACACTGCAAAACATGAAATTATCTCCCTCATTTTCCTAGAAATAAAAAGAGATAACCATCTTTTCGTATAGGTTTTTTAAATTCCCCTAAATATCTTGTTTGTGAATGAGTTTTTGCTTTATGACAATTTACAATTGTCTCAAATCTGGATGACGTATTAGTATATGTAAGGCAGCGCATCGATGCGTGCAATTTACAATCTTTATAGACAAGCTTTCCCATTTTAAACCCTTTTTCCACTAAGGAACCAACACGGTGCCCTTTATATTAGCAATCAACACGTGCGTAGCTAATCGCTTGATGCAAAAAGGTTTTTATTGATTATATAGAGAACTCTGACAGTTTTGTTTCATAATTGTTTGCATATAGTTTTAAAAATTAAACTATCAGAGATCATCATATCAAAATCGAAGTATCACCAAATGCCACAGTCAAATTTATTAAAAACATTCAACTATATAGATAACAAAGTCATAGACAACAAAAGTCTTTTCCACTAACATTGTATGAAGCTTAACTAAATATTTCGTAGCAAGTAACTACAAAACTTGATAGAATACTACAAATTCTGAAAATGTGCAAGATTCATAATAGCCAAGCGTCTTATGCCTGTACAGATATTAAAACTAACGGTGATTTTTCACTATAGCAACACATTGCAACAATACTGCCATCCTTTTCATTCTTCATAAATAAAAAAGAGATAGCAATAATGTTCTTACGTTACGATAGTGTCACTGTAATAACTACTTCTGTTCTATCAAATACTATAAAAACTAAGTTATTAATTAGATTTATAATTCACGATGAATTTTGAAATGTTTCGTAGTGACTTGCAATGAAAATCTTACGATCATGTTAACATCCTAAGCGTAATTTACGTTTGATTTTTATAACAGTTTATTTAAAGAAGAACTTTATTACACGTAAAATGTTAACAAGATTTTCTGTACAATATCCAAACCAATTTCGCAACAGACACCAAACAATATTTAAATACATTCACATACTTCGCAACAATATAGTTCATTTCCAAGTCTCACAGCAAATACAGATTTAATTCCATTTGACGTTTACCGAGTTAAAGCTATAGGAAATCTTACGCAGCTTATGTTGTGCAATGCGTAAAGACGCAAAAAGATCTTGAAAATGAACTTTACTCAATCCTTTAATATTCACATTCTTCGTGTCTTCTGTCTGTTGCTTCCAGTCAATTGTTTCAAGCTTCTAGAAGTCAAGTTAACAGCTGCACTTTGAAACATCGCTCTCAGAATCTGAAGGCTTGATAACATTCTCCCTCTCCTTTAATTCAAATGCATCCGCCTGTAAATATTAAACAATACATAGTTGATCTAATATTTGACTATATTTCACGAGTAAAGCAAAACGTTTAATTTTGTACAAGAGAAGGGGCAAACGAGAACACACGGGAACACCGAGGTGATCAACGACACCCATGGACATCTGCAACACCAGAGAAACTGCAGATGCGTTGTCAACATTTAAGGAAAGGTTAGGCCCACTTCCTGAAGCAATGTTTAATTCCACGCGGTTTTCGTATAATAGGAAAAGAAATATATAGAAACTAACTACTTTTTACGGACAGCGTTACCTTAGTATATCTGTATTCCCTTATTTTTCTTGCTAAAGTAATAAAGGCTTCCTCTATATTAATGTTGTTCTTACAAGATACTTCGAAGAATGGCATATCAAAGTCATCAGCAATCTGAAACATAATAAATTAAATCATGGCATTATTTCTATGTTAACACTAGTTGGTAAAAAAAAACTTAATATGTAGCCTATCTCATATTACAGACTATGTTCTACATCTGTGCTCAATGAGATCGAGATCCTCTGAGATGTTCTGGATACTTTCTAACAAACATCCATCCCTCTATGTAAACTTTCGCATTTATTATATTAGTAAGAAGTAAGATTATTCTATTAACGCTACATAACGTGTCTTTTTTACCTTTTGACCTCTCTCCCTGGGAACAGCGCGGTGGTTCTCATGCACGTCACACTTATTGCCAACTAATACTTTGATAACATCTGGAGACGCGTACTAAAATCAAATAATACAAAACATTATAGTTATAACGTTTTATGGGGTTTGGAGTTACAAACCCCATAAAAATACATATTCAAAAGAAATACTGGATGTCTGTCAGATTTGAAACAAAGAAAATATTTGTTATGGGTAGTATACCTATATAGAAATGAGTACATGATAAAGAAAATGTTATGGAAGAATTACATTTCTAAATGAAAGATTGCGGAATCTATTTTGTCAGGCGTTAGGTTTTTAAAATGGGAGCGTTTTAGGAAAAAATCAAATTGAATAACTTACCTCTTGAATATTCCTCAACCAATAAGATAAATGGTTAAATGATTCGAGATTAGTTATATCGTACATAAGGATTATACCCATGGCACCTCGGTAATACGCCGTAGTAAGAGTTCTGAACCTTTCCTGGCCAGCAGTGTCCCAGATTTGTAGCTTTATTGGCACCCCATCCAAATTGATGATCTTTTGTTTGAAATCTATTCCTGTAATTATTAAACGATTATTTATAACATTTCTTGAGATTGTGAAACGTTAAATATACTAGTATCTAACATTATTTTGTTTTAAAAGAAAAAAAATCGCAAATTGACAAAAAAATTGACTATCGCTTTAGTACAATTAAAAAAAAAACAGCAAATTAACAGCGAACACATTAAATTAAGGGAATAATATTATGAGTTCGACGCGCAGGGGTTATTACAGTTCATTCAGTCAACATAACTACACTAGCTATGTGCTATGCAACGCAGTAGTAAAGGTCTTGTCTAGTCGTAGGACTAGAGATGTTCAAAGAAAATATATGACTTTACGAGCAGTAAATGATACAGTGCGTAATCCGGACAAAAGAGATTTATTAAGTCCATGTCATAAAACTTGTCTTATAAAAGAAAGCAATATAAATAAACTACAAATTAACCTCACGTGACATTTACGAACGAATAAAACATTTAATATATTCACAAGAAAACTATTCGGTATAATATTTAATGCGAGACTTTACATCAAACAGTCCATTGTTCGCTTCGATATTTCCGCACTGGAAACTATAATTCTGACTCCGTTATAACCAGAAGGGAAGTTAAGCACAGCATCACCTAACTAACAAAGGCTCGTAAAACTAAAATTCTCACTTACCTATTGTGGATATGTAAATATCGTAATATCTCTCGTCACAATATCTGTGCACTATGCAAGTCTTGCCTACATTCGAATCACCCAAAACTAATAGTTTGTACGTCGCTGAGAAGTCTAAAGCCATGATTTTTGTTTACTTTGCTGACGAACGCGGGTGGTAGCTCAAAACATCGGTCGAACTGTCAAAGTGAGAAAAATCAATGAAGGTCAGTGCGCATGTGCGGCTTACCCTCCCCGCAACAAGTCACTATGTAGTTAATGTCTGTTTCACACGAAGGCAGCACACTGAATAGACTATAGACAGTAGACAAAGAAGTAACAACTATAGAACGCAAACTTACCGTTACAATTATGTTCTGTCTCGGCGTATGCGTGCAGTATCCCACAATATTACTGCTACACTGTGCAACCCTTGTGTGAAATAGACATAACACGGGATGATAAATATCTCTGGCGACAAGTTAATCTGCGAGTTCAAACATACATTGTATTAATGTGTTTTCTATATTACAATACATTAGTCTTTACGAAATCATATTACACAGATTAAATAGAGAGGTTTTAATGCGCTGTCTTGGCTGGCTTAATTGGCTTACATCCAAACAATAAAAAAATTTACTGCACCAAGTTATAATATTCTACTAAAATATAAACTTTTTGCTGGAGTAAAAGTGTACTCTTTGGTGATATAAAGTGCAATATAAACTTAAATATGTAATCATAAAATTATTAAACCTTAATATTATTAGGAATATGAACAAAATTCCATGAATCTTAAATAACATAATAAAACACTAGAAATTCGACCTTATTGCTACATGATAAAGCATATAATTTCACATGTACATATGTTAGATCTTACAAGTGCTAGGCAATTTCTTCAATTATAGCAAATTTACTATCTTCGCATGTTGTTATGATTACAATGTAGATGTCCAAGAGAATTGTAAAATTACTTCAAATATATGTTAACTGGTGGGGAAAGCTCATTACATGAATGTACTTTTATGATGTCTTACTTTGTTCAAATCGTCTAAATCTTACTAATATTATAAATGGAATGGATGGCTGGATGTTTGTTATATCTCCAGAACGGCTGCATAGATCAAATTGAAATTTGGGATAGATGTAGATCATAGTCTGGAAGAACACGTAGTTGCGGGCAATAGCTATTAAACAGTAATGAAACTGTCGTACTCATAGTCGTCTTATGATTCCTTAAACTGTTACTTTGTTAATTCTAGTGCTTTTCAACTAAGAAACTTTAAACTTGGTAGATATATGATTACATTTTTAAAGTATTTACGTATAATAATTGTTATATAGACCTTTAAAGTGTGTAATATTTTTATAGTGTAGTTTAACTTATAGTTGTGCCAATTTATTCTTAACAATAGGCTATTTTAGCAAGAAACGTGTCAGTAAAAATAAAAGTTTAACCTTGCTATTGTTCGGTTTAGATGACACGTCGATAGTCCCGCCTTCCGCGTGTGGTAGGCGTTGTTTATTAAGATTTCCATTTATTCCGTTTAAATCCTTGCCCATATCTGGTCCATACATCGCGGTGGTCCCTGTACTATGCAAAAGCATGTTTCCATTATTACTGCCTTCAACGTATCTCCGTTATCAGCCCTTTGTTTAAAAAAGCGGAGCGCTTTTCTTTAAACATTCACTCAAATCAAGGTTAATATTCTATACATGTTTATGATGAATTCATTTAAATATTTATTATGATATGCACTCTTTGTCGTTACTACGTTCAATTTAATACCTGCAAGAGAAGTTTTTATTTTTTTTATATGATAAGGTGGCAAACGAGCAAGCGGCCACCTGAAATCGCTGATATAGCGAAGTGACCGTTGCCCATTGACATACGGAATTGAATATGCGTTGCCTACCTTTTGTTTGGGAATATAAGTTTAAAAAATTGACATAAAGCAAGATTCATGAATTTTTCCATGGGTAGAAGTTCCCACTAAATTACATAGCATTTTATACCTCGTCTGGAACAAGAGACAATCTGCTGTTCGATATTGCAACTCACGTACAGGGTAAGGAACAAGTGAAAGACACTGACGTTGTTCAAGGTCAGAGATCTACTTTTTCTTTTTACGTAAAAAAAAAGAATTCGTGTTTATTAAAAATAATCCTCATAACCCACATTATAGGCCACATAACACGTACGTGACGCAATGCCACTTCAAGTCAAACGGTAGCGATGTAATTCACAACCAACTGCCATTCTGGTAACTATGACTTCATTTGTCAAAGAACCGCAAAAGAGTTATAAACGTCACCACAAGATGCTGTAAATATATGCTATTTTGAAATTCATCTCATGTTCTGTCGTTCAGAAGTTAGAGCCCATTCACACTAAAACTGACGCCGTAAAGCCGTAATTTAAAGGTGTATCTAAGCTAGTAACTTGATATACTAATCGAAAGAGGTATAGGCAGAGACCATCGTCTTCCATTTAGTTCGGTCATGGCTAAACTTTGTTTACTTATAAAAAAAACAATAGTGATATTTTGAAGTTGAACTTATTTATATTTTAATGTGAATAGGTCTTTAGAATGTTCGCTATCGGGCGTTCAATTTGAAAGGAAATGACGAGTAACACTAGCAATAGCTTAGCAAGGAAATTGCACGGAAAGGGATGAGAAATGGCACGCATGCAAGTTACTACTGTGACTATATAATCCTAGCTAATATTATAAATGAGTTGAAGTGAGATGAAATTCAATCATCATGAAATGTCCAACACATTGTCCGGAGAAAATAAAAACACACCTGGTAGTCATTGACCTGAAAGTGAAAAAGAAAATTATTATATCTCTTTAATTTTACTGTTAAAATACTGACTGAGTATATAAAATATCTGTTTGTAATAAAAAAATAATAGTTTTTTTTTTAAATTTTGTTTTTTCAACGTGTAAAGGTCATGAAGATGTTTCATACAAAATAATTGTTAATCCACGATTGGAAAGCAATTTCACAGAAAGTTATACCAATTACAGGGAAAGGCTTCACATATTGATTTGTTTGGAGAGGGTTAGCGCGGGTTAACCGCTGATGACCTCTGATAGACCGAGCTCGTCGCGAGTATTGATCCCAAACCTAACGACTACAACATATTTGTTTTTAATTTAACATTAACTTCAAGACTGATTTTATTCAGGTCGTTTTATTAAGGTTATTTTTTCTAATTACTGAACTTCATCATCATCAGCTCACTATATGTCCCCACCGAGGGGCTCGGAGCCTACCCTAAGTTAAGGGTGACTAGGCCATAGTCAACCACGCTGGCCAAGTGCTGGTTGGTTGACTTCACACATATCTTTGAATTTCTTCTCGGATATGTGCAGGTTGCATCATGATTTTTTCCTTCACCGTAAGAACGTCAGATCAATGTACATATGTAAATCGAAAAACACATTGGTACATGGCGGGATTCGAACCCAGGACCTACTGATTACAAGTCAAGTGCTGAAACCACTGAGCCACCGACGCTCTCTACTGTTACTGAACTTGAAGGTATGATATTTTCCATTAAACTTGTTTAATCAATTTATTATCCAACATTATATTATAAATGTGAAGAAAATCGACCGAGCGACGAAAATTTGATCGTTTATCGGACCTTTCTATTGGATTTATTTATAACCACGTGTGTTTTAACCATTAACTTAACATAAAAAAGACGTTCTTAAGTCATACTTAAATTACTAAACATACACTACTTAATATTATTCTTTTAAACTTGATAGGTCGCGTAATAGAAAAAATCAGACAGCCCAATCTACTACAAAAGAAGTTTTCTGTGTACATCTTCATTATTCTACAAGTTAACTTACTAATCGATTTCACATTAAAAACAAATGACATTCAAACAACACTGGCAACATGACGTGGGCGCCCACACATCTGATGCCAAAAAAATATTAGACGAGCAAAGTCCAAAAGAAATTGCTTAGTGCGAAATTCCCTCAAATGCGTCACCGTTAGGTAACGATCAGCCGGATCTTAGCGGTCATTAAACGAAAATAAGATCATATCTCGGACAATGGGAGACTCGACGACCGAAAGTGATAGTCCAATAGATATAAGAGATGACGCCAACGGACACCGAAATTGACCAGTCACCCTTATTCACTCATATAACTATATAACTCTGTATCACTAGCCTATCACAAATATTCATAAGTGCCAATATTAAAAATTGTGCTACCGAGTGTAAAGTACACCAACAAATATAATACAAATTTTCTCGATCACGTTACAAAGGCGACTGTCGTAAATTTTCGTGCTAGGCCCTCTGTGCTATTTGGACAACACTTGAGTTCGACAGATTCGAATATCGATTAAATAATTTGCCAACGTTTAGTTTTTCTTCTCGACTTCCTAATAAAACTAATTTTTTTATTGCATCTCTATCAAATAGATTTTCATTTCATTCCGAAACCAATGCAACTTAGGGTCTTGCAAAGAAGCGAACTTATCGTCCCATTAAAGGCCGGCAACGCATCTGCAGTTCTTCTTATTTGCGGATATCCATGGGCGTCGTTGATCACCTTGGTGTTCCTACCGCTTGTAAGCCCCCTTCGCCTATATTTTTTTTTTAAATCAGAATATTATTATACTTACATTCTTTATAAAACCAGAGTTTTACTTAACTTATTAGTCCTAGTGGTGGATAAACCACTCATATTTAACGCTGCGGTCTTCCACTTAGCTGCGGTAGCTTGTCGCATAGTCTATGTCTGCTGTCTTTGCGTATGTTTCCTCTGTTGAAACAAGTATACCATCATCAGTTCACCATACGTCCCCACCGAGGGGCTCGGAGCCTACCTTAAGTTAAGGGTGACTAGGCCATAGTCAACACGCTGGTCAAGTGCGGGTTGGTTGACTTCACACACTTTGAATTTCTTCTCAGATATGTGCAGGTTGCACCACGATGTTTTCCTTCACCGTATGAACGTCGGTTAAATGTACATATGTAAATCGGAAATTGAAAAACACATTAGTACATGGCGGAATTCGAACCCAGAACCAGATTGTAAGTCCATCAAGTATACAAAAAGATCTTATCTCTGGTTATTACAATGATGCCGAGAGGTGGCAAATTGTTTTTGTATAAGCAGTGGAAACTCACGCTTCAACGCCACCAGATTATACATATATTTTTATAAATAACACATTT